CGGGATCATCGGCTGGTGTTATGCAATGNCACTGTGCCTCAGACAGACGGTGCAGAGTCCCTCCTTGTGAAGTGGGGGCAAGGGGTGCAAGTGGGCCTGTTGATTATATACCTGGCCCCCTGCTATGTATCAACGGCCCTGCCTGAGCTGGCTGACGTAATAGCCGGGGTGGCGGTGGAGACCCCCAGACTTATAGTCATGGGGGATCTCAACCTGCCATCGGCGGGCAAAACGTCGGCGGCAGCTCAGGAGTTCTTGGCCTCCATGACGACCTTGGACTTGACCCAATTAGTTCATGCCCCCACTCACACGGGAGGACATACACTAGATCTAATTTTTGTCTCTGGCCAGTGGCAAAATGATCTGGAAATGGGGGAGGTAATTATAGAGCCCTTGTCATGGTCAGATCATGCACTCCTTAGGATGGATTTCCGGATCGCTTCCCCCCGCCGCAGGGAGACGGAACCGCGTAGATGGTTCCGTCCCAGGCGCCTGATGGACCCGGAGAGGTTCCTGACGGAGCTTGGGCCATATCCGGAGGATCTAGTCCACGACTCGGCGGAAAATCTGGCGGCGGCCTGGGATGTGGCCGCAGCCGCAGCACTGGACCGAGTCGTGCCTTTGCGGCCTCTGACCCGACGCAGATCTCAATTAGCTCCTTGGTTTACCGAGGAGCTGAGAGAGATGAAGCGCCGGAAAAGACGCCTAGAGAGCAGTTGGAGGGCTACCCGAACCGAATCCGACCGAGCACAGGCAAGGATGCATGTTAGATCCTACCTTGTGGCAATGAGGGTGGCGAGGTCTAACTACTACTCCACCCTCATTGCGTCATCAGATAACCGCCCGGCCACCGTCTTCAGGGTGACCCGCTCTTTCCTTCAGCTGAGGGGAGGGGGGGACCCCCTGGTGGGGAGGGCTGAGGATTTTGCCCAATATCTGCATGACAAAGTCGCTCGGATCCGAGAGGGCTTAGACTCCGACTGGGTGGCCCCGGGGGAGGAGACGGGAGCAGGTCTTGAGACTATTATATGGGAGGAGTTTGACTCTGTGGCTCCCGAGGACGTGGACAGGAT